AAAGAATAATAATAACTAATGATAATAATAATAAAATGAGATAATATAGTAATATAAATAATAATAATAATAAAATAAAATGAGATAATATTATAGTAATATAAAGAACAATAATAACTAATAATAATAATAATAATAACAGAAATAGCAGTAATAATAATAATAATAATAATAATAATAATAATAATAATAAAATGTGTTTTTATAGTAGTAGTACTCTAGTAATAGTATTAGTGTTATTACTATGATGCCTCTACATTTCATATTTCTTCACTTTCACCTAATTTTTCATTGTAATACAGAAGTACAGTTTAAACTAATGTGAGTAGTAGTTTTATACATTTATGGTTAGCAATTTGACCACATTTCAGGACATTTTTGTGGTGCATTAAAGTAAATTAAAGCAGATTTCTCATTTTAAGTCTTTAAGTCTTTCATTTCTTCTGATGTCGTGATTTCGTGTGATTTGCGTGTGTTTCTGTCCTGATGGCCAGTTTCACTCAGCCTGATGTGTTTCTCTGACCTCTCCTGTTCTTTAAGTGCTGCGTCTGGAAAACACACACACTCCTGCATACACACTCTTACTCTTCCACACGCACTCCTCCACACACACTCCTCCACACACACTCCTCCACACACACTCCTCCGTACCCTTCAACCCAAAACCCTGATCCTGTAATATCCTGATGGCAAAGTGTCTGATCCATTTTATGATTGATTCGCTGCAGCTCCAGGGTGAAAGACGTCTGGAGGAGATGATTCACTGAGTCAAACAAATGATTCACTGAGTCAAACAAATGATTCACTGAGTCATTTGAGCTGATTTTCTGAGGCTGCGTCCAAAACCGCATACTTCCAAACAATACAGTACGCTGAAATCAGTATGCGAGCCGAGTAGTGTGTCCAAATTCATCAAATTCGAAAATCAGCATGCAAGAAGTACCCGGATGACTTACGGAGTGCACATCCCATACACGCTGCGCTATCCCATGATGCCCCGCGAGAAAATTCATAAATGGGAATGAAGCGACGCAACTGACGCAGGTAGAGCACGCGACCATGACAAAATGGCGGATGTAGTATGTCCGAATTCCATTCATACTGCTCACACTCAAACTGTATAGAACGCACCTTTCTAACGGCCGAGTAGTACGATTACATTCAAATGCAGTACCCACTGAGTACTAGCCGGTTTCGGACACAACCTGAGTCATTTGAGTGATTCTGGATGATGATTCAGGTGATTTGGTGAATCATTTAAATGATTCAGAAGAAGCTGATTTACTGAGTCATTTGAATGGTTCAGGTGGAGCTGATTTACTGAGTTATTTGAGTAATTTTGGAAAAGCTGATTCACCGATTCATTTGAGTGATTCTTGAAGAGCTGATTCACTGAGTCATTTTGATTTCTGTTGGAGCTGATTCACTGAGTCATTTGAGAGATTCTAAAAGAGCTGATTCACTGAGTTATTTGAGTAATTCTAGAGAAGCTGAATCACTGACTCATTTGAGAGAGTCTAAAAGAGCTGATTCATTGAGTCATTTGATTGATTCCGGAGGAGCTGATTCACTGAGTCATTCGAGCTGATTTACTTAGTCATTTGAGTTGAAACACTGACTCATTTAGGTGATTCTTTAGGAGTTGAATCATTGAGTCATTTGAGTGATTCTGGAAGAGCTGATTCACTGACTCATTTAAATGATCCAGGAAAAGCTTATTCACGGAGTCATTTAGGTGATTCAGGAGTAACTGATTCACTGAGTCACTTGAGTGATTCAGGAAAACCTGATTCACTGACTAATTTAAGGGATTTTTTAGCAGTTGATTCACTGAGTCATTT